CGACAGCAGCTGCTCCCCTTTTCTCCTGCGTCCCAATGACCGCGAAAAGCTTGTTAAAAAACAGACGCTCTACTAAAGCACGATATCCCATCAGCCTTTACCTTGGCTTAGCCAAGGTCACGCTGGCAAGCGAGACTATCTTACGCGCATAGGGCAGCCTACATTGTCACCCATAGTCCCTTGCGTTTAGATCCCCCAGGCGGACGCCTTTATCACACACAAGCAAACGGTTCATTCACGGAAACAAATCGCTCCTAAAATCTGACTTCTTTCTTTCCTTAGATGAAATACTCTTAGTGTAGTGTTTATAGTATATTCGTTAGAAATTTTGAAGAAGTGGTTGACCTGAGGGCCTCAGACATGTGGGTGAATAAGTTTAGGCCAAGCAATGAAGATCTGGAAAGAATCGTACGACATAAAGCGGAGTTGGCGAGCAAGCACGTGTGGACAGACATTAAAAAAAAACTTTTACCCGAAGACTAGCTGACAATTAAAATTTGGAACGCGCTTCCTGTCACATAACACACACTGCAGCGTGTGAGTATTGCTGTATTGACTTTGTTTGGGTCTACTTATGCATGTGAACAGCCATTCTCACATCTTAATTAAATTAAGTCCACCATAAGATCACGTGTAACGGATGAAACCGTCAACGCTTGCATGAAGCTTAACTTCATCAACTACGAACCAGACTGCAAAGCCATCAGCAAATCCATGTAGCACCGGAAGTCGCATTAACAATGAGTATTACAAAAACCTTACTTAAATGAATAAATTCCGAGGCTTATTATACTCACATTAAATTGAATTTAATCGTAAAATATATTATGTGCCTCTCACTGAAATATATTTCCAAATATTTTCTTTCTTGGCTCACTGAGTCAAAAAGATTCCCGACCCCTATTCTAGGCTATGGTAGTATGGATAAATACATGTGCTACGTCTCAAAAGTATTGAGATAGCCCAGCTATAAGGACCACTTTTCAGTGCCAGTTACGTCAAAGTGTGCTAAGCTGCCAGATTATGCGACTGCATTCGTGCGACCAATCCGTTGGTAAATGTCACCGTTTATTAATTGCGTCCTATTCGTCAGGTATCTTAATGGCTCACTTGCTCCAGTTCGTTGACGAGAACAGCGTCAGCCACGTACTCCGCACAGCTCTTCGACTCATTTTAGTGGAAAATAATCAAGTCAAACTGCTGCAAGACAGCTTCGGGTATCACTGTTGAAATTTGCGAACATACTAGGATGCTCTTAACCTGCTTGCAGTTTTGTCTCAATAAACGTAGGGTACGTTAACGGACAGAACTTCAGGTCTTAAGGGATTAATACTTGTTCGAGGTGATTCGATGTTTCAACTTTTTCGACTCGTAGTATTTTGGTGGTCTTAACTATGGAGTCCTGCGGAAAAGACTAGAACAGTTCAGAAAGCCGAAGGTTGCTGATTCGAGTGTTGATAGGCAAAAAAGTAAAGGATGCATCGTAGGCGGCTAAGTAAGTTAAACCCTAGCAACTGCGATCTTCAGACCATGGTTACTTA